TTAAAACAAACATCGACTACAGGGCTTTTTGATATATCAAGGGAAATAATGGCTTTGGGGAAAACATCAGAATTAGGTAAAACCCTGACTCTAACATTTAACTCGGTATAATATCTAAACCAAATGCTTCTGTTTTAAACTCCATTTATTCCTCAGTATATAAGAAATTTAGTGAGAATAAAATAATACTAATGTTACTTTCTTAAACTTATTGGTGGGTTCAGTGAACGTTTACAGGGCATATCAGTTTTCCATTCCACAATTCGTACACATTTTTCTTCATTAATAGCAATTTCCACAATGGGAAATCACGTATCCAACTTCCTCCTTGTATTTCCTGTTTCAATTCCTCCTTCCCTAAACCTTCTGAAATGTGTTCTTGGGTAAACGATCTCCAATGTTTGAGTGTTATACGATGTGTGTGCCTCACTCTATTGTTCCTCTTAGGTGCCTGTGGGTCAGTCCAGACTTAGATGAACAGCAGAACAAAATACATCCCCGTCCTTCGCTGTCCTCAATCATTGTAATTTGGGGGACAATTTTTGCAGACCCTGTATCAATCCATTTGCTTGTGGATCTTGCTCTTTTTCCTGGCCTGCTGCATTAGCAAGCATGCCGTTATTTTCTTAGTGATAATAGATCTAAAGTATATGAAAGGCACCTTCATCACCCTCATTTTAATGAGCATTCTAGTTGTACTCCCAAGGACAGAATTTCTGTTTTCTGGCAGTCTGTGCTACTTTCAGTATTCTTCTCCAGCATCAAAACTCAAATGTATCATTGTTCCACTTTCATATTCCTATTACAGATGTGCCTGTTACTTATTTACTTACCTGGTAGCATAGTGGCTCTAAGTTGGGCTGCAAACCACAAGATCTACAGTTCAAAACCACCAACTGCACTGTGGGAGAAAGACGCTTTCTACTCCTAAAGAGTTCATCTCTGAAACCCCTGGGGCCAGTTCTACTCTGGCCTATAAAGTGATTATTTCTCGCAATCAACAGGATTGCAGTGAGTTGACGATTGTCTCCCTGGAAATTGAGCCATAAGGGGGAAAGATTTGAAAGGTGATGAAGGCCTATAATCCCATGGGCCCTGCCAGTCTCGATCTATCTGATAGTAAGCCCAAGCTTTATTGTGATTTTCATTTTCGTTCCATGGTCATCTCCCACTCCATGTAGGACCTTCACATGTGATCCCTTTCAGCATACTTGGTAGTGATAGTAAGACACCTCTTCCTCTGGTCTCAGCATCCTCTTAAAAAAACAAAACAAAACACTCTCAGTGCCATGGAGTTGATTACAACTCATAGCGTAGGAATTTCACATTGGACTTCTATCTGTAAGGTCTGCAGTTCAAAACCACCAAGCGGAAGCTTTCTACTCCCATTAAGAATATTTCTACTCTACCATATCAGGTTGCTGTGAGTCTCAGGGTCCTAGAGCCTGATGCCTGTCCTCTGCTCATCTATTGAGTTAATTGTCTTCATGTCTTCAATTTGCATCCCTCTTCTTTCCTCTAAACAGGGCGAGGCCTGAAGTTGCATCTCAGATGGCTGCTCAAGCCTTTCATACCCCAGTGGTTGCTCATCACAGTAGGAGATAAGACACTTGTGGACTGTTAGGAAAATTAATATTGGTGTTACCTGAGACTAGGCTCCTGAGCACCTAGTCTCAGCAATTAATTCCCACCATGGTGTTTGGTTGTATCTAAGATGTTTTCATAACTTTTCCCCCTGGATGTTCCACCACACTCACGGATATATTTGGAGCAACTGTACAGATATTTGTACAACATTTATATAAATACAAGTACAAATATTCTCTGGCAAGCCTACATGTGTGTGTGTGGATGCACACGCCCACTTGCCCTCCTAGATCCATTCATCTCTGTGCCTATTCACGAACCACTCATAGATGATCATAACTGCAAGATCCAAATACATTTGTATTTACTTCTTTTGCCTTTAATTCGTACTCTCCTCCAGGTGTCTTCCAATATCACCATGATTTTTTGTTAACTTCCCTAGTTTTGTATATTGCCTTCTCTTTCATTCAAATTTACATGTATCTACCCTCTAACAAGTAACTTACCTTCTCTTACCCTCTCACACAAAAGATGTTTTTATTGGTGTGAAATTCTTTTCTTGACTTGTTTATAGTAGTGATCTCATACATAGCTTGTCCTTGTGATCACGTTATTTTACAAATCAGAGTGTCCTCCAGGTTCATCCTTGTCATGAGTTTTCTGTAGAATAATTGCTATTCATTAAGAACGCATAGTGTTCACTGTGTGCATGTGCCATAGTTTGTTTATCTATTCTTTCATTGATGGGCATTTAGATTGCTTCCACCTTCTTGCTATTGTTAATAGTGATATGATGAATATGTGTGTGGATATATCTACTTATTTGGGCTTGAATATAATATATATATATATTGAATATATAATAAAGCAGAGGTTAGATATATATATGACCTAGGGTTATAAAACCAAAAATGAAAAACACCCTAATGTTTAGCATACCTTAAACCGAAAGAACACTAGATATATTCAAACCTCAACTTGTAATCTTGAACATTCTATTGGCAAAATATTTAATAATGCAGGATGCATCAAAAGAAGATGGAAATAATACACAGTGTCACTGTACAAAAAAACCTGACTCACGATTTTAGGAGTTATCATATGAACAAGAACCAATGGGGCTGAAGGAAAAAGTTTAACCTTCACTGACAGCATTAGCCAAAAAAATAAGGCTCCAGGATTGATGAAATACCAATAGAAATGTTTCATGAAGTGCTAGAAGCACTCTCTTATCTGTGCCAGGAAATGTAGAAGACAGCTTCCTGGCCAAATGACTGGAAGAGATCCATATTTGCACCCATTCCAAAGAAAGGTGAGCCAACAGAAGGCTAAAATTATAGAATAATATATTTAATAGCACATGCAAGTAAAATTTTGCTGAAGATCATCAATCACATTTGCAGTAGTATACTGACAGGGAGCTGCTAGAGGTTTAGGCTGGATTCAGAAGAAAACATGGAACAGGGGATATCATTGCTGATATCTGATGGATCTTGGCAGAAAGCAGAGAATACCAGAAAGATGTTTACTTATGTTTTATTGGTGTGTAAAGACAATCAACTGTGTGGATAATAAGAAACTATGAATAACCTTGAGAAGAATGGGTAATACAGATACTTCTTTGTGCTCAGGCAGAACCTGAACATGGATCAAGACACAGTTGTGCAAACACAAAAAGGAAATACTGCACTATTTAAAATCAAGAAAGGTGTGTGTAAAGGTTTTATTCTCTCACCATCCTTATTCAATCTATATGCTGTGAAAATCATCAACGAAACTGGATTATATGAAGAAGAATTTAGCATCAGGATTTGAGGAAAGCTTATTGATAACCTTAATTGTGCAAATGACACAACTTTGCTCCTGAAAATGAGGAGGACTTGAAATACTTGCTGATAAACATCAACAGTTGCAGCCTTCAGTATGCATTACAGCCCAATATTAAGAAAACCAAGCTCCTCACAACTGGACCCATCGGTAACATCATAATAAACAGAGCAAAGAATGAAGTTCAAAGCTTTCATTTTCCTTGAATCCACAGCTGATGCTCATGGAAACAGCAGTCAAGAGATCAAGGGACATATTGCATCGAGCAAATCTGCTGCACAAGACATCTTTAAAGTGTTGAAAAGCAAGGAGGTTAGTTTGAGAATTAAGGTTTGCTTGACCCAAGCCACAGTGTTACCAATCACCTTATAAGCATGTGAAAGCTAGGCTTTGAACGAGAAAGACTGAAGAAGAATTGAGGAAGAAGAATTATGATGCTGGCAAAGAATATTGAAAACACCATCTTAAATCATGTAAGGATGGCACAGGAGTGGAGCATTATTTTTTCTGTGGTACTTAGGGTCACTATGAATTAGAGGCAACTCAAGGGCAAATAGCTACAAGAGGACAGTGTTTAACACAGAGGTGAATTTCTGTTGAATGTGGAACAGTATTTTGTTAATGAGAACATTGGATTTTTAGGCTAGTTTAATGTAGAAATTTCCCCTAATACAATAATAATAATATATACTTACTATATTATTATTAATATTATCATGTCCTTGGCACAGAGTTGAAGCGCAATGCCTTTTTCTTTATTTCATACCTTTGTTATGCCAGGAGGCAAGATAGAATGAGTAGCGGTAATAAGCAAGATTGATATCGCAGCTGTGACTCATACCAGTCCGGTGACTTTGGGCCCATATCTTGATATTCCTAAACAACCATTTTCTCTTATCCAAAATGAAACAATAATAATGTTATCACTTCTTTGTGATAAGAATGGAAAGAGATGATGTAAAAGCACTATAATCATTATACTTATGGCACACTTCTATGTTGTTTCTTAGATTACATTGTGCATTAGACACTCAATCATTTACCATTTAATAGATATACATTGTGACAATTTCTGTCCATTCTCTTTTCAGGAGATTTGTCCTTACCAAGCTTCGAGTCATCGCAAAAGGAGCGTTTTCGGGATTTGGGGACCTGGAGAAAATGTATGTACTTGCGAATGCTATGTGTAGATATCTAGAGTTGGCACTAGGCAATAATCCCAGATCAGATCGATTTTGATACTCTATGGCATAGAGTCTATGCTTAGAAGCCACATACACAGCCGGAAAACTTCCTTCACCTCTTCTTAATTTATTTCCTTGTCATATTTCCTGAACAACAGAGAGAAATGCTCCAAAGCACGGACCTTAGAACTAGCGAAAGATCGATCCAAGCATAAGGGTGTGTTTACAAAATACCTGTGGAATTTTTATAAACTAAAGTTTATTTCCTCTATTACTATCCCATCTTCTTCCCTAGATATTTTCTAATTTTGTTCATTTGTGATTGACAGTGCCATCTAACATTTATGCTTTCGAAATTATCTGTAGTTTTTCATCCCCAGAATCAGTCATTGATATATAAGCGTTTAAAGGTAGTATGGACGTTGTCTCTATCGCCTAAGAGTTTTTTAAGATGACACATAGATGTCGCTTTGAGGAATAAGGTGCACCTGACACAATCCAGGATCTTTGCAGCCACTTCATAGGCATGTGGAAGCCAGGCAATGAATAAGAAAGACCCAGAAGAGCTGATGCATTTTATTACGGCAAGTGGGAATATTATTGAAAGAATTATGAACTAACAGAAGAATAAACAAATCTGTTTGTACAACCAGAACACTCCTTAGAAACTAGGATTGGGGAGTGGGGAGACTGAATTCTCAAGTACAGTGAACAAGTTATCAGATGAGACCAGATCAGAGAAGGGCATCATGCTTGATAAACTAGAAGGTCAAAAAAAGTGAGAAAGACCCTGAATTATATGGATTCTCACAGTTTCTGCAACAATGGAATCAATCTTAAATCATGTAAGGATGGCACAAGAGTGGAGCATTATTTTTTCTGTGGTACTTAGGGTCACTATGAATTAGAGTCAACTCAAGGGCATCTAACTACAATAGGACAGTGTTTAACACAGGGGTGGATATCTGTTGAATATGGAACAGTATTTTGTTCATGAGAACATTAGATTTTTTAGGCTAGTTTAATATAGAAATTCCCCCTAAAACAATTTTATCAAAGTGGGGTAGAAACAGGGGGAAAAAAATCTAGTGAACTCTTCCACATTTCATGAAACTCCATTATCTCTCAGTTTGTACTGTAGGCCTTGAAGTTCTGGACATGTGGTGTTTCTCCATAATAACACACCAGGGAGTCAGAACTGAAGAGACATGAACCATTGCAAGACAACATGTCAAGTCAGTTCCAACCTATTGTGACAGCATATATGAGCCCATTGTTGCAGCCACTTGTCCAGTTCATTGCATAGATCACCTTCCGTATTTCTGCTGGCTCTCGAGTTTACCAGCCGTCCAGTGATGATGTTCTTCTCCAGGGTCTAACCCTTCCTGACAACATAGCTAAAGTACTTACAGCTAAGTCTAACTGGCTTCAATTCCAAGGAGTATGCTAGCTGTCCTTCTCACAGCAGATTCATTTGTCCTTCTGAAATTCCATGGCATATTCAATGTTCTTCACATACCACAATTAAAAGGCAACAATTCTTCAGTCCTCCTTGGTCATTGTCCAACATTCACACACATATCAGGAGATGGAAAACGCCGTGTCTTAACTCTGCTTTTTAGCAATTTGAAAACAGTAATAAATGGTTGCAGCAGATAAAATGTGTTGTTAGATTTCCTGACTGCTGTACCTATTGGCATTGATTATGAATCCAAATAAAATCAAATCCTTGATGCTATATAGCATATATATTTTTACATTTATTGTGACATTGCTTATCGGTCATGTAAAGATTTTTCTGTTCTTTATGTTGACTTGGAATCCATATTAAAGGCTGTAGTCTTCGATCTTTGTTGACAAGTGCTTCAAGCCCTCTTCATTTCCAAGAAGCAAGGTTATGTCATCTGCATACTGCAGGTTGTTAATCACCCTTCTCCCAACCCTGATGCCACGCACAACTGCATACATGTAGCCCAGCCTCTCTGATTCTCTTCTCAGGACACAGATTGAGTAAGTGTGGTGAAAGGATACAACCATTTCAAACATCTTTTTCGATTTTAACCCCATTGTTTCCTTCTAATGACTGCCTCCTGATTTCTGCATAGTTTCCACATGGGCACATTTAAGTGTGCTAGAATTCCTATTATTCTCAATGTTATCTAAAATTTGTCATGATCCACACAATCAAATATCTTTGCCTTTTTAATAAAGCTCCATGAACATCTTTCTATAATTCTCGGCTTAGTGCTTACACATTAGGCTGCTAACCACAAGTTCAAAACTAACGGCTGCTTCATGGCAGAAAGATGAGGGTGTCTCCCACCATAATGAGTTACAGTCTCAGAAACCCAGGAGCAGTTCCTCCCTGTCTTATAGGGTTGCTATGAACTAGAATGGACTCTATAGTAATGAGTTTTTGTTGTTGTTGATGGTGGTGGTGTTTAAGCCAAGATACATCTGTCATCAGCAATAATAGTCCTCATTCTTTGTCCTCTTCTGAATCCGGTGTGGCTTTCTAGCACTTTCTGTCAATATGCCACTGCAAATAATTTTAAGTAAATGTTTTGTTAAGTATTTTGTACATGTTATTAAGAAAACTGTTAACACCACTTCCTTTCCCGCCCCTCTCCCATGTCCCCCCGGAAGTGGTGTTAAAAAACACAGGAACAAGGGAACAACAGGTGATCCAAAATCAGTGGCAAGGAGAGTGTCAAAGGCCTGGTAGGGCTTGATCAGGGCAATGTAAACGAGAGGAATTGCTGAAACCTAAATGAAGGCTAAGCATGATAGTGGGACCAGAGGAAAGTAAAAGGAAATAGAGGAAAGAACTACGAGGCAAAGGGCATTTATAGAGGCCTAAATACAGGCATGTACATATGTAAAGATAATTATATATGACGATGGGGAAATAGATTTTTATGCAAGTATTTATAGGTGTAGTATTAAGGTAGCAGATTGACATTGGGCCTCCACTCAAGTGCTCCCTCAATGCAAGAACACTTTGTTCTATTAAACTGGTATTCCATGATGCTCACCTTCCCCACATGATCGCTGAAGATGAATGGGTGCACAAGCAAATGTGGTGAAGAAAGCTGATGGTGCCCAGCTATCAAAAGATATAGTGTCTGGGGTCTTAAAGGCTTGAAGGCAAACAAGAGTCATATGAACCCCTAATAAAATGATTTTTTTTAAAAAGGCCATCTAGCTCAGAAGCAACAAAGTCCACTTGGAAGAAGCATGAAAGCCTGTGTGATCACAAGGTGCTGAAGGGATCAGTTATCAGGCATCAAAGAACAAAAAATCATCTCATTGTGAATGAGGGGGAGTGCGGAGTTGGGACCCAAAGCTCATCTGTAGGCAACTGAACATCCCCTTACAGAAGGGTCACGGGGAGTAGTGAACCAGTCAGGGTGCAGTGTAGCAACGATGAAACATACAACTTCCCTATACTTCATAAATGCTTCCTCCCACCCCACTTACTTGCATGATCCCAATTCTACCTTACAAATTGGGCTAGACCAGAGGATGTACACTGGTACAGATAGGAACTGGAAACACAGGGAATCCAGGACAGATGAACACTTCAAGACCAGTGATGAGAGTGGTGATACCAGGAGGTTGGAGGGAAGGTGGGGTAAAAAGGGGTAACCGGTTACAAGGACCTACAAATAACTCCCTCCCTGGGGGACAGACAACAGAAAAGTGGGTGAAAGGAGACATCAGAAAGTCTAAGACATGACAAAATAATAATAATTTAGAAATTATCAAGGGTTCGTGAGGGGTGGTGGGGAGGGAGGGTAACAAACAAGGAGCTGATACCAAGAATGATGCTCGCAACAAATATACAAATTTGCTTGATTCAATCGACATATGTATGGATTGTGATAAGAGTTGTACGAGCCCCCAATAAAATAATTTATTTTACAAGGAATACTGTTTTCTAATTTCTTTATTCTGTTGATTATTTTCTTCTTAGAATGGGCACAAATATAGATCTCTTTCAGTATGTTAACCAGGTAGCTGTCTTCCTAATTTCTTGGAATAGGTAAGTGAGTACTTTGAGCATCTTATTTGTTCTTTGAAATATCTCAGTTAGCATTCCATCATTTCCTAGATTCTTGCTTCTCACCAGTGTCCCCATAACGCCTTGGAATTCTTTCTGCGCCATTGGTTCATTATCATGTGCTTTCTTCGGAAATATTTGAACATCAACCAATTCTTTTTGTTAGGGAAACTCTGTGTTTTCCTTCTATCTTCCCTTGAGGCTTCTGTATCATTCTGGATCATGCTCATAGACACCTTCATAAACTTTCTTCTGAAATAGTTGGGCATCTACCTACTCTTTTAGATTCAGCAACTCTGCATATTCTTCCCATCTTCCTTTAAGACTTCCACTATCATTGAATATTGTGCTCACAGACTCCTTCAATATTTCAACCCAAGACTTAAAATTTTGAGATTGAGAAATTCTCCTTCCCTTTTGATTTTTTTAACTCCAGAACTTCGCACATTTCATTCTAATACTTTGTTTTTAGAGCTATTCTTTGAAGTTCTCTGTTGTAATATTTTGTTTCATTATTTCTTCTATCCCTTTTAGCACTCTGTAGTCAAGAGGAAGTTTCAAAGTCTCTTCTGATATTCCCTTTAGTCTTATCTTTCTCATCTTTTTAATGCATTTTTTCATATTTGATGTTCTTAAACATTGATGTCATCTTAAACTCACCTAGTCTTTGGTCTTTAATATTTAAAGCATCAAATCTATTCTTTAGAAAGTTTATAAATTCAGGTGGGTTCTAGTTAAGGTCATACTTTGCCTCTTGTAGACTGGTTTTCATTCTCGACAAAAATTGATTATTCCAGTCAATTCTGGCTTTGTTCTTACAGATGATACTGAGCTGCTCCATTATCTAGTTCCACAGATGTAATCAATTTGATTACAGTGTATTCAATCCAAGGAGGCCCATATATATACTTGCTGT